TAATTGCTGGATGGTGGGAGGATGGTTCTGATTCACTGTCTCACCGCACCAACACCTCCCCACCAATAACGCAGCCTCTTGCCCTGTTTCAGGTCTGGGTGTGTCGAAGCACTGAGGGCTGCCCCCCTGATGATGGATCTGTAACTGGAGGGATGTGGGGAAATGGACATACAGTATTATTGGCTACCGCTGCGACTCAGACTTAAATATGCAAAAGAAAATCGATTGACGTTTTCTCTAATTTATCAGCTGTATTGAGTATTAGCCTATAGCTTACAACGGAAAGAGAAACGTGAATAAATGCATGAACAGTAACACAAAGGCTTGCTCTTGAGATGATGTATGGACGATTTATGCAATGATCGATCAAATAGTTCATTTTGTTGCTGTTATTGGGCAAGAAAAGATTTCTGCTCTCCTCATCGGTGGTGATAGTTTGTAGTGTCCTGCCAACTTGGGGTATCTTTAATTTAAATGGAAATGAGACACTGGTTCTTATAGATCGAAGATCAGGTCCCTGATCATTGCTCGATCAGCCTCTCCTGTAACCTTGTGTCTGTGTGTGTGTGTATGTGTGTGTGTATTTCCTGTATTTTAATGCATTTCTCACACACACACATATTGAGAGGAGCATCTGTAAACAAGAACTGTGCACAGGTTGTAATCAAAAAACCTGATTCCAATGTTTTACAACAAAATAAACAGGTAACAGAAGTAATGTTTACTGAATGCTCATGCTCGTCCACTCTCGTATGTCAGAAACAGGCACAGATGGATTGGAAGAGTTAGCATGTCCGATCATTTACATTGGGCTAATTTAGATTAAGTTAATTACATTACAAAATTCCTTTCAAAGCCCCCACACTGGTGAGAAGACGAGGCAATGCCCAAGACAGTGAGAGAGTTTAAGAGAAGGTTCTGGTTTCAGTTTTCAGTCGCAGTCTCTTTGTGTTTTGACTTAAAATAGAACCTTTCAAAACTTTAACCACGTGTAACGGTTTCCTGGCAGAAAGCCTCAGAGGCAAACCTTTCCCATGTGCTCGTGCGCAGCAGGATCCCTGAAATTCAGCCGATCAGCATGAAGCATGTGCCAATGCATGTTTTATACCAAGAGTGTGACTGGGAAGTGGATGTAAAAGGAGAGATTCATCCACGTGTATTGTTCAGAAGTTGATCCAAAATGTGTGTCTTTTTGTGTGTGTGTAGTCATAACTCATGTCTCCCTCGTGGAGACAAAATCCAGAACCCACAACAAACAGTATTAAATTCCAGGGTTTAAAGTTGGTTGATGAAAAGGTTGAGGTCACTGGGGAATAACTGTCAGTCAGTGTGAAATAGTGTGTTTGTTTGTGTTTGTGTGCCATAAATTTAAAAACGGAGCCTCTGTGCAGAATGAAGAGTAATTGTATTGTATTCATTCTTGTGTGCATTAGTAATAAATACAAATTGCTGTAAGACAACCACCCTGTTATCTTTAAGTGATGGATGAACATCTGTAGTTTTTTAAATAAAGAATACTTCACATTTTTTAGGATGTGAATATGTTTTCTCTGCATTTCAAGGATGAAAGTGATTTTCTTTTTTTTTAACAGCAGTGCCACCACTGTAAACAGACTGTCGTACATCTGTCCACGGGAACACTCCCCCTTTCTCCCAGGTGGCGCTAAAGGTGTAATAAACACAGATGGAGTTTTCCTGCCACAGGGAGCAACAGAGGGGAAAAAACATGTCAGCCCTGAAATGACATGATGAAAAACAAGTTACTGAGATTTGCAGAATGTCGATCGTTTGGCAGCTCGATGCTGTGTTTGCAAGAATGAAAAGACCTGATTCTATAATAATAATGATAAAAAAGTGCCTTGTATTTCAATGCTTTAAATGGATTATCAAGGTTCTAAGAAAGGAATGACTGTTTGAATAAAGGTGTGTTTGTGTTGTTTGTGTCCCTGTTGAGATCCAGTCAACCCTCAAACAAGATCTGGCCTCTAGTGCAGCTAATAAACTGTGTAATGTGGTCTCTAAGTCAGTCAGCACCTCTTTCATCAAAGTGTTTTGGATTTTCATTAATTGCAACTTATATTCGGTGGTTGAGCTCCGTTCTTGGACCTTTCTGCTTCTCCACATGTAAACAGGGAAAGCCCGAGGAAGGGAGAGCAAACCTCCCCATACCGTAATATGAGCCTTTATGGAAGTGAGTATGGGAGAGGATGAGCTGAAAGACCACTGGTACAGAACAGAGCATCAGACATGAGTGACAACACAAGACATTGATCGGGTCAGATTCAGCACAAAAAGGAAATGCTCGAGCGCAGAATATGAGCCGTCAGCTGACGCACTGGATCGTGGTTGAACTCGACTTTGTGACCTGACTGAACTGACGCTTTGCTCAATAGGCAAATGAACTGTAGCTATGTCACAATCCAGGGAACGAGTAGACCACGAAAACCGAGCGAAAAGAGACGGTCTGTCTTCAAGGATGCAATGAGTGAATGAATGAGTGAGTGAGTGAATAAGTGAGTGAGAGAATAAGTGAGTGAGTGAGGTACCAGAGGCTTTGCAGGATTTAAATTAAAGTGCTGTAATCAATATAATAATTATGTGTGTACTGTAACAAGTGCTGTGTTAGAAGCCTTTTTAAGCAAACCTGATTTTTTTTTTGCAGTTTAACTTCACTTGGTGTAAAACATGCTGCTGTGAGAATCCATCAATAACTATTTACTTCCCACTGGTGTTTCAGCCTCCCTCTTTGGGGCCATTTGGTGGCAGCTACTTTAAATTCATTCATTGTTGGTATTTGGTCGAGATCAGTAGGAGGGAGCATAATGCAACCGGAAAAAAAAACACAAAAACAAGAAAATAAGTGAGCTGCTAATGTAACCAAATGAGACTGTCTTTGTTATTCTCAGACATCTCCCTCTACAGACCCCTTCATCGCGCTGAGTGAGAGCACCGGCAGGATCAACAACACCGCACTGCATCCACACCACATGCAAAACATGAACCGGCACTTGAGTTTTGTCAAGTGTCCACTTGTTTATTTAAAAACTAGAAGTAATCGTATTTGGAGGAAATTATAGGCACTTCCGCCTTGATTTAACCTCCCAGACCCAGAATGCGTCCAGATTTATACACAGTCTATGACAACGATGAACATTACAACTAATGGAATTAAAGATAGATTAGCTTATACAGAGCAAATGAAATACACCAGTCAGGCTGTATATTAGTGCTCTGTGTTTATATACTCTGAGCACGACTGTCAGTACGAATGATGGTGTCTTGCTCTTCCCTCCTCCATTATTGGACTTAAACACATTTAAATCTGTTTTACATGCTGCTTTATTCACTGGAGTGCGATAAAATGTTATTTTTACATTAGTCCAGTTATGTTGCATCACTGAGCCATAGAGGAGGTAAATTAATGTGAGCTTCTCTTGGCACAGCCAAATAAAATCAATCAATAACAGCCTTTGTGTCAGAGAAGCCATGATCGATGGGTAATGCCACAGGGAGGCTATTTATTACAAGAAGCAATTAACTGTGAAGGCATTTTTCCTCTAAAAAGTTGAAATAGTTTGCATACTCGATATCAGCAACACAAATGCATGTTCACACAGCACAACAATGTACAAATATAGGAACATACAGAGTTTTTGCATCCACGTGCACACTCTACATGCACAGTACCCAACCAACACAACGCCCCTGATCAGTTCTCGTTGCTTTGGTCTATAAATAAGACGCCTCTGTCTGCATATGCCATTCTGTGGTTGTACCACAATCTGCAAGCGACTAACTGTGAATGAAGCACTTGATCTAATTTTGGATTGTAGCCCTAAAGAGGATGAAAATATCAAACCTGAAGTAATCGAGGAGAAGGAAGCCTGCTGGAAAAAAAAGAGGAACCTGATTAATGTGATCCAGATTCTGAAGAATCATCAGGCGAGGAGGCACATGACAGAGCTGAAGCAGTTGGTGCATTAATTAATTAGGTAGTTGAACTACTTTTTCCTGCAAAATACCAAATAAAACATTTCTCAGTTGTGAATATTTGCTGCTTTTCATTGTTTCCTATGAAAGTAAAGAAAGCACATTTTGGTTTTGGACTGTTGATCAGACAAAGAGAAAGACAAAAGCAGATGAATTGGTAATAATTTAATTGAAAATGTTCACATGAGGGTAATTGTTGTGTAAGCACTGCGTGTGCACTGCATCAGCACAAGAGCTCTGCGTGAGTGGGACTTTGGGGGCCCCGGGCCAAAGGGACCAGGAGGCCCCGCATCGCACCAAACCAATATTGCTGTTGCTGTGGACTAATGTAATCAACCATTCTCAGGGGCCCCTTCTCAGCTCGGGGCTCCACGCAATTGCCAGCTTTGCAACGTAAGAAGCTGTGTGCGTATGGAGTGATGAATGAAAGAAATGAAATAGTGTCAGCAGATGCTACGACCTTATTGGTAATCGTTTATGGCCATTTTATTACAATAAATAAAACTTTTGAGTTTTTATGACTGAAGCTACCACAGGTTCTCCTTCATGTTTGGAAAGGGAGGGTGAGGTGAGGGGTGTTCAGCTGCAACATGCAACTCCGCCACTAGATGTCACTAAACCCCACACACTGAACCTTTAACTATTATTGTCATTACACTTAAGTATTGCTTGTTACTTATTATTACTGCTTCCTGTTTTTGACTCTTACTGCTGTAAGATTGCAAGTTTGCAAGTTTCCCCAGTGTTGTCTAATAAAGGATTGTCTGATCTTATCTGTGGTCTTCATTGATGAATGTTCTGTATGAGGATCATCCCGCAGCTCTTCAGTCTGTTTTATTTATTTATCCATCAGAGTCACAGCCGCTGCTCTGAGCTGCGGTTCATCCACAGCACGGAGGTCGATCCACCGGCTCTCTGTCTCCTCCCATCGCCGTCCCCCCGCTGCCGTGCGCGGCCACACCTGCAGCAGACCGGAGGGGGGGGGGGGTGAAGTCAGAGCCAGAGACGGTGTGGAGGAGAGAGGAAGCCCGGACACATCCAGCAGCTCTCACCGCTTCAAGCTGGACGAACTGACATGAACGAGGGTCAATGCACGAGACACGAACAGCGACTGGAGCCGGTGACACTTTAAATAATGGGGATTAACGATGAAGAGGAGGAAGAGGAGCAGAGGCTGAGACTGAAGAGAGCGCACAGGTAAGAAAGGTTTCCGACAAACAAGACAGGAACTGTTCCAACTTTTTATCATCAAACATCTTCATTTCATACTATGATGAATTTAACTGATGCTTTATCCCTGATTCAGTCCTTCCTCATTTTATGTCCCTGAATTATGAACACATGCACAACAAACACAACATTTGATAGTTTAACACACTGAATCATCCCTGTTCAGATTCATGCACATCTATCTTTGGTAATCAATAACCCACAGTGAGTTTATATTCAACTTGTATCACTTGTATGTTCCTGAATCCCTGCAGTTCTTTAAAGGATGACATATTTCAGTTATAAAAAAAATAGAGGCTACATCTCTAACTCATCGGTTAAATAGCTCATGTATTTGTGTCTCGCGTAAATGCATCTTATCTCTTGTAATCCAATGTAAATGAATGGTGACAGTGATGCTTTTTAAAAAATTCATTTATGAGGAAATCTCCTGTGTAACAGCAGCAAAAAGGAAATTCACACTCAGTGAGGTAAAGCACAAGGAACTTTAACAGATAGAATCTGTATAACATGTCAACGGTAAAACTGTTTTGCATATAGTATATGATAATAATTTACTCCTCTCAAAGAAGACATGATGATTTCACTATCTGGCCAAATCCCACATAGATTTTCTTTGTGTAACCTTATCATACTCCTCTCATGATCTCCACAGTCACCCTGCCCAACTGAAAAGCAGCCTTTGTTGAGTGTGAGGAATTTCTGTACTGCTCATCTACAATAAATATTAATAGCCTTTTCGGATGGGTTCTCCAAGCACAAACTGTTTAGTGTCCTTCTATCTGGAAGTGAATATTAAATCATTATGAAACAATACAAGCAAGCCCGTTAACACTCAGAGGAATTAACCTCTAAACACATTTAATCGCGACTTCTAGGAGAAAATTACTGCATCTTTAAATGATAGGAATCTAAGAAGTGGTTCCCCTGTTTTTTTTCATAGAGTGTTTCTGTGTTTGTGAGTTTCCCAAAATAAATGAACTACCCCTTTTTACCATTATATGAACAGGGAAGTAAAACGTGTTATCACTGTATCACACCCTGATCTTTGCACTTGTGGAACGGCCAACAGTCGCCACTCGTGGGCCCTGTAACAGTGAAGGCCTCAGATGCACTGTAGATCATCAATTCATAGGGTTACTGTCATATAGTTGGAGGTCAGTTTTTGCTGCATTGTGGAAAATCCATAAACCACATAGAGGGGAAGTGTTGTTGACGCTGCTTTCAAGTTATCGGATCAATGCAGCGTCCAGGCATGACCCGCTGTGCCACATAATCTACAGAGCAGGGACGGATCATGACGGGGCGACCGAAGCAGGTTACATTACTAATGCAATATACCAAAAACCACGTTAAAGATCCTCTGAGAGGGAGGCTAAAAAACAACTCAGGCTGAAAACAACATGTGATAGACCTCATTAGGAAAGAGCCTGAAGTCAACACAAAGCACTGGATGAAAGAACAGGAGAAAAACAATGTGAGCTGGTGATTGAGTCTGTGGATGACCGTGCAGAGCGGAGGGGTTATATGAGAGCTGTGTATAGGTGAGGTGTGTGTGTGTGTGTGTGTGTGTGACATAGATGCCAGACAGAGTGGAGCAGAGAGTAGGCCAGAATCTTAAATATCCCCGAGAGGCATTTTGTTTCACAGTCAGCAGATACACAGAGTCAGGCATGTAGAGTGTCATCAATAGCCGCTGTGGCGAGTGTGACCACCTCTGTCCCTGGACGTACAACACACCAGCCAATCAGCATAATCAATCCAATAAACATGAGAGTTGGTGACAACGGGTACAAGAGACTTTCCCGTCTCAAAGCTTTAAGCTGCTCATTGAGCTTTAAGCTTTGTGCACCTGTACTGTCCTAAACATTTAGACATTGGGTGAGAGGCGGGACACACTCTGAACAGGTCGACAGTGTATCGCAGGGCAATGCTAAAGTTTAGTAGCGTACCATTTTCTCCATCTTAGTTCACTGAACACAAAGTGCAACAAAGGCTGATGGGAAGGTTATTCGCTTTCCATGTGTCTGGCTGGGACAATATCTTCGCCAGGTTGCTAAGCAACAGGAAGTTTCTGGTCTTGGCTTATACAGACTTTATCCACCTCGCTGCTGCAAACTAATTCACGTGATCTACGCGGCGGAGTTGATACATCACTTCCTGACTCTGTTTGCTGCGCCCGGCATCTCCACCTCTCGCTTGAATAATGTGGAGGATTTGTTGCTGTTGCAGAAAACCTCCCGCCGTGTTGTGCATATGTGAAAGGCAAACCCTGGGTAAACGTACTAACTCTTTAAACGGACTGGTGAATTTTGTTGCCGGTGGACGGAGGCAGGCTAAATGTTTCCCACAATTTCTAGTCCTCGTGCTGAGCTAATCTACCTGGCTGCTGGCAGCTGTAGCTCCTAGCTTTAGTCTGCAGTGAGAAAGGTATCAGTCTTCTCATCCAACTCTTGGCAAGAGAGCGAATGAGCGTTTTTCCTTAAAGCTCCCATATCATCCTGTGGGAAACATGAATGTCAAATCTCTGTAAATGTAATTCATTCAAGATGTTTCACATAAAACCACAAATGTGAAGCTCATGGTGATGCGAGAGAAAAAAGGCCAAAACTTAGTATATGTCTGGAGCCTGTATGGCCATTGGATGGAATTGAGGATGTAGTTACAAAATGAAAATTACATGGAATGGAAATGGTTCGTTGCCTCGTATTTGCATTCTGCCGAGTCTCAGCTGGTTTTAGCCCTGGACTGTTTGCTACTCTCTTACTTTGTGTGCTTTTCAAATTCCCAGTAAAGCTGTTTACCTGAGGCGGTGAAAGACAAAGAAATGTTGGTTGAAAACAGTCAAAGTCAGGCTTTATCTTGCATTCCCCACGAAACATTACAGACTCTTTTTCATGTAAACTAGAATGGCACTGAATAGAACGCATACTTTCAAGTAAGCAACACTGCCTATCAGTGCCCCTCCTGACCAATTAGTCATGGTCTATGTACGTCATGTATGTCAGCAGGCCTTTGCTGCTGCAGGCGATCAGCACGGAACATGACAAAATCTCTCCACTAGCTGTGGCTCAAAATTCCAAAACACCAGTTCCTCAGCCAAAATCGTGAGGTCCACTCGGTCGACACCAAGCTCGTCATCTCATTCATTACAATCATTATCTCCAGACAGCCACTATCAAATTAGAATATGCTGAATATCACCTCTGAACCCGCAGAAGGATGTGATGATGGTTAAAAACAAAGACTGAGACAAAAAAAAGAAGACGGAGCCTCTTTCCCATCGTCAGCGCGAGTGAAGCATGAGGGGACCAGAATGTTAATTGGTGATTTGATTGGCGGTTCATTATTGCAGCTGTGCACGACAGAGGAAAGCAACCTCCCGCCCAGAGGTTCGTTCTTTCTTTTTCTTTATCAGCAGTCAACTCCTCTGGGAAGGGAGGGACTGAGGTGGTTATCACACAGCCTAGTCATTATGCATGTCATTCAGTTCATTTCCTCCAACTTCCAAAAGACACACAAAGAGAAAAAGAATCGTTTCTTTGCTCTTGTTGGGTAATGGAGAGTATTTGACAGAAGCAGAACTATTCAATTTTGAATTGGCCGCAGCATCTAAGAGCCCCATTTGGCTCCCGCTGTAGAAAAGTGGCTGAAAAGGATCCACATCCTGTGTTAAAGTGAAGTAAACTGGGCTGGGTTACGTTTTTGTCAGCAGCAGTGTGTGTCACCACCTCGAGGAGGAAGCTCTATTCAAAAGGAGGGAAATGCCATATGTCATATTTGATTTAAAATCGTTTCTCTGCATTTGTGTTTTGATTATTTTGTCCTGTATTGTTAACCTGTGTTTGTGTTGGGGGTTAACAAAACGTTACACATGCTGATGAATATGGTTATTTTTCATGCTGGGAATAGTGGAAAGACAATGCAAGAGGGAATGAAGGGGTAATAACATGTCACATTGTAAACACAGGTGTGGCTCACTCTATGTATGTGCTTGCGTGCATTCTGGGCTGGAGCCAGAGGGGAGATCTGTGGCAAAGACACTAGGCTGCAAAGCAGGTCGCAAACAGGAGAAATAATAATTTAGCTGGAAAAAGTAGCTTCAGTGGAGAGACAGAGGAGGAGAGGAGCTGAGGTAAGACAGGAAGGAAGGTGCGGAGGGCTGATATGAGGAAGGATAGGAGAGTAAATAGATAGTGTGTGTGTGTGTGTGTGTGTGTGCGTGTGTGCATATGAGTGTGATAAGATGTCAGACAGGTCCTGACTGGTCGTGCCAGTCGGGGTGATGCTGTGTTGTAAACTGAAAAATGGTCTCGCTCAGAGATGGTGGGATTAAACCATCTCGCAGGAACCAGGCAGCAAGAGGGAGAGCCGATATGGTAAAGGGTCTGTTTGAGTCTCCTGAGGCGTCAATGACCATTAACGATAAGGTTTGCATTGAGCATGCTAACAGACCCACGGCGACCAAGCAATTCTGATGCAGACAAATATTGACCTTGTTATTTTAGTGCTTGTTACAACCTGATGATGCCCAACAAGGACTCAGAGGATCATTTAAGTGGTTATAATTCATCCCGAGGGGGTTCATCCTATGAGGACCAAAAATATCTGTACAAAAATGAATTATTTGTCTGTGGAACCAAAGTGTTGGACCTATGGACCAACCCCCCGACCTACTATTACCATTTCACAAGCCATGGCACCATTGTGGCCAAAACAAAATCACTACTTTGTGAAATGGCTGCAGCTGCAGCATCTTAATGATTCCAGTGGAGGGGCTCATCTGTGCATCCCCTCCCTTCTTTATGGGACTAATTTTGATGAAGCTTGTAAATCAGGACGTTAATCACACCACTGCATCTTTAAGATTTGAACCAAACCATGCATTTGGAAAGATAGCGGCTGAAATTCATTGGCAGCACAGAGCAATGAAGGACTAAATAGATAAGCCAGGCTAAGGTGAGCCGCAGGGCGAGTTTCGTACAGTGCAGTATGTGCAGCTGATATAAAGGTCTCTCTCTCTTTCTCCCTTCCCTTTTGCTTTTGCTTGTGATCCCTGACAGTAACACTGACCATTGTCTCCTCACAGCTCGCAGCAGCGCGGGGCTCTCTGGTTGCCTCGGCTGCCCATTGTGACTGTAGAGAAGAAAGAAAGATCCAGCTTGTCTGGATAACGACCTATTCAGCCTCATTTCTCTTCGCCACATTAGAAACCCTCAGAACAGTGAAGGCTCAGCACTATCCTGACCTCCCAAAGCTTTCCCTACATCCTCTACCCGCCTCATCCCTATACTCCTCTCTCAGCTCCTTCCCTCTTCCTCTATCTAGCTTCATCCGCAGCCTCTGCCCGGTTCAGAGTCCCAGATGACAGCCATTACCCTCCCTCACCGAAAGAGCCTCCTTTCCACTCCTTCCAGTCCCTGTGGCGCTTGGCACCAATGCCCATCACACAGACAGATGGAGCCAACCCTGACCCCTCTCCTTGCCCGTGGGGACGCAAAGAGAACCAACCCTTAGTAGAGGAGAGGGGGTGACAGGAAGGAGAGAAGAAGAGAGTATTGCTTTGTCACCACAGCAACTCATCATCCGGTCTCCCTCGGACTCCCCGTCAGCCGAAGCGAAGGACCTGGGATAAAAAAGGCACACAGCGGGAACGTCAACAACAGAAACAGAAGGAGCTTTTTTCCCCGCAAATTGTGCCTGACACATTTTTGCTTTGATTATTTGGCAGAGAAATGTTGTTCCGTCGTGTGTGGACAGAAGAGGCGAACGCTGACAAGAATTCTAAATATGGGAAATATCAATCGAAAGAAACAGGATGCCACAGGAAGACAAATCTCAAAACGCTGAAGGAAAACCTGCTCTACACATTCTCAAGTTTGTCTGAACACCACAAAATTCTAAGCCCTGCACTTTCCTTTAGCTGTGGCCTCTGTGGTCTGAATGAAAGCAATAAAAAGCTGCAAAGGCTGTCAAAAATATCACCAATTTAAACATGCAGCCACAGTAAGCAAGCTTCTTTTTTCATTGTACTTCCCCCACCTGCATAAAGCTTAAAAAAAAAAGCTTTTCACTGACAGTAAAAAGGAAATATATATGGGACTCAAATCAGTGTCCTCGGGCGTGTGTGTATACATTCATCTGAGCTGTAACATCTTCCTTGCACCGCATCAAAAGTCCACTCTGTGTCATCTCCTCAGACTGAAAAACTGCACCTGAGGCCCTGCGATTATTACAAGAGGTAATGTTGTTTCCAGATTTCTAAGCGACTCTGCTGACCGGCATTCTGATTAGACACACAATGCCAGACAGCCAATTTTTAAGGACCCACGCATCAACAATAAAATGAGACACTAATGGCTGGTGAAATGAATTCAGCGGGCCAACATAACAGAGGGGGGAATACCGGAGTCCCAAAGCTTCCCAGGTAATTGGAGTGCAGTAGTTTTTTTCTATTACTCCAAAGCACAGCTCCTCTGGTGACCTTGCAGGCTGAAAACTTCGAGGAGACAGACGCGGAGCGGAAGAGAGAGTGTGAATGATACTCCACGTCCAAGGTTTACAATTATCTTTGGGATTTTTCATCATTACTCTCGGCGCATTAGCATAACAAAGAATGTTTGGTCTGTTGGCTTCAGCCTGTCGTCAGTCATTTCAGCTTTCAGTGCAGAACTCAGCTTCCAGGATACATTTATCATTCCTGTCACTTAAAAGACGCCCGTCCTTAGTATCTGTTTCAAATGCAATGTGATAATGATAACGGGTGCAGCTTTCTATAGGTTCTGTGAGATACTTTATATGGAGGAATATCTTTATATAACCAAGTATGTTACTACCCAATTCCCTAATTGGTCCAAAATGAAAGATAAAGCAGGTCCATAAAGTTTTTTTCTTCTTTTTACAGTAAGTTTATTTTACAGTCAGGTACATCTGAGCTTCGGTATTTCGTGATGATGCGAAGAGAGTAGGAGTAGTGTGAAACTTCACAGCTGAGGTGTAAAGACTCGTCCTTTCACTTAATGTACTGAAGGGTTTCAGTGCACAGGTGTAAAGGAATGAAGTGTTCAAACAAAATCTTCCTAACTGAATAATTTCTAAAACCTCAAAAGATTATTCAGAAGGTGACACAGTGTAAAGATATGTTTAATCACTCTGATTCCACATTTCTATAGAGCACTGTGGTCCTTGGAACAAGTGCGTTGAGATATTGTGCGGAGAGTGTGTAAATTGTTTGTGCCTCTGTACCTGTTTTCTATTACATAAAGGAGGCCAGCGGAGAGTGAAGCAGTGAGTCAGTGCTATTGTAAAGATATTTATGAGGCTAGTATGACACGGCTGATGTAGAGTCCAGAGGTCATATAAGTGATAAAAGAGGAAAGGCAGACATAGTCCATCAGTTGTGTGTGTGTGTTTGTGTGCGTGTCTACAGGGATCACAGTGGGAAACATGGAGTAAGATATACTAGAGTCATTAAGAGTTCGATTTCTTCTTATGATCTTTGTTGCGTGCCGTCGCCTCCCGCTCTATCACCCAGTTGTTCCCCCGCTGTTCTTTACCAAGAGCGATGTAATGAAACAGAAAATGATTTTTCATCATGAGGATGATATTTTAGTTTTGGATGCTGCTTTTGTTTTGTTTTTTGTCATAGTTGGGTTGGAGGCTCAAACACATGCACGCACACACACACACGCACACACACACACACAAACACACACACACACACACACACACACACACACACAAATAGATATGCATCTCAATTATTGTGCTATTTCTGTCGCACTACCTGTTAGTGACACCGAGCTTAGACCAACTGGGATTAATTAGTGACTCAACAAACACTGTGTTCACACATGCACATGCGCACACTCATACACACACACACACACATACAAATGCTGCTTTATGTTTTTCTTTCTGTGTGAAACATACACGTGCACTAATCTTAAAGTGACTAAACACACATGCCCACACACTTTTCATATTTCACCTCTTACTACTTGTTTACAACTGTTCACTTTTGAATAACACACACACACACACAAACACACACACACATACATGCACTCACACACACAATATCATCCATCAGAGACAGAATGTGAAAAGCTTCCAGAACAGCATGTTGCCAATAAACACCCCTCCTCCTCCTCCTTCACTGTAATTACCTCGCTCTTCATTTCACACCTTGTGTATGCGCCTCATATCTCTCCGTGTCACCGTGTTAGCGTTCTGCATCAGTACAAGGCGATACCCGTCCACGCTGATATGAAATGTGATCCTGGTTGTGGTTTATAGTCTTTTCTAAACAGGCGGGAACAGTTAACCCCTAGACAGCATTTTAAATGTTGTGCCACAAGTTTGAAAACAACATTTCTAGTTTGAATGCATGCAGCAGTGTTTGTGTTCGCAAAATGTTCGGCCAGTGAGGACAGGCTGTAACTCCTGTCGGCTGGTGTTGGTGGCGCCGGGCACGTGCCGCGCACTGCTGATTTTCGATGGAAATAAAGCCGCTGACAGGTTTTTAAAGACAAGCTGTCGACAGCCATAACCTTGAGGATGATTGCGTGTGTGTCTGTGTGTGTGCGAACTGTATATGTTTACATTATTGTGTTATGGGGTGTGTGATGAAGTTACAAACTACACTGGAGAGATTCAATATGCTGATGTAAGGACCTAAGACTGAGGGCAGAGAGGATGGGGAATGAAAAGGAATTTACCAGCCTTTATATGATATGTAGAAATACAGAAAACACAAATACAACAATGCCGGCATATATATTTATACATAATATATATATGTATATAGGATGACAAGGAGAAAATTGCATTTACATTTATGCTGTCTGATCTTGTGTCCCTCTGTGTGTGTGCGTGTGCATGGACATTGTTTTTTCCATCGGCAGCTGATGCTTGTTTTATTTTATCCAGCCACCTCTGAAGTGGAAACTCATTAGCATAGTGATAATGAGGGATAGAAAAGGTTGCCGGTGTCAGCAAACACCAAGTTTTTTACATGACCAAAACAGAAATTCGAGTTGTTCAAAGAAACTTTGTGTTTGAATGATTTTCATCCACTTTGTTCTGTTAACAAACTTGGTCTCTTTCAGCTGCATTCAGACTCTGAGCTCTGGAGCTCCTGCACAGTTTCTCCAGAGGAGGTGTATGTGTGAATGCATTCGAAGCCTCAGTCTGCACTGTACTGATTCAGTTGTGAAACTGTGGTATCGAGATTCTGCTGATGCTCTATTATGAGTCAGTCCCAAGTGACAGAAACCATTTAAGAAAAATGCATTTAATGTGCACTTTGACATTTGGTCCATAGTCCCATCTGTTAACATGGGGGAGGCTGAGTTTATGACCTATGAGACAACCAGCCACCTGAGGACGATCATAATGATTTGGCTTCACGCGTGAGGAGCTGTCATGTTGTCCATCTTAATATTCAGACTATATGGAGAAGACCAATAAATACATTTTAGCAGCTAACAGCTAACTAGCCTGTTTGTAGTTAGCTGTTAGCTAACTACAAACAGGCTAGTGGTATTACCAATTTGTAAAAAGCAGGTCAAAACATCACATTCTTCATATGAAGTTCTTATGAAGCAGCAAATCCACACTGCTGAACAGACAACATGTGGAATCAAACACTGTACGAACCCTGTTACATCATCATCTGTCTTCTCTTCCAGATGATTGCTGCCACTCTGCAAAACCAAACTGGAAATTCTGTGGAAGTTCAGACTCTCTGCTTTGGAAGTTGATGCCGAAAAGAATTCACAACGCAGCCTTGAGTTCAACTGCAGCCACATTTGAGATTTCTGGGATAAAACAAGGAGCAACTCCTCTGAAACCTCTGGAATACAGTTGTGGTAACTGAAATAAGACTTCATAGAGCATTACCTGCATTTCGTGGTGGTGGCTTCCCTATTCAGCAGGCTGGGAGTGGCAGTAGGATGCCTGAACTGCATAACTTTCCCCCCCTGAGGGACCCCAGAGGCCCTGAGCTGGGTTTAAATGGAGCCGCAGACCCAGCTCAAATTCAGCACAGTATCCTGGAGGAGCAGGTGGAACTGTGGTGGTTCAGAGATCCCGGGAAGTCTCTGCTCTGCTACTGTGTGGCCGTGCTCCTGATCCTGGGCTGTGGGCTGGGAGGTGTCGGCCTTCTCTCGACCACCACCAGCGTCTCCAGCGAATGGCGTCTGGGCGCAGGCACGGCCCTCTGCCTGCTCGCCCTGGGAGTGCTGCTCAAACAACTGCTCAGCTCGGCCGTGCAGGACATGAATTGCATTCGAAGCCGCCAGCGCATCGACATGCTAAAGAGCGGCGGTTTATCAGACCTGCTTGTGGTTTCGATCACGGGGCTGTCGCTGTTGATTTGCGGAGGAGTTCTGCTGCATCTGGCCCTGGCTAACCACATGCCGAAGCCAGGGCAAGCCCTGAATGACATGTACATCTCTGGAGTGGTTCTGCTGGCTGGAGGGGGGGCTGCAGTAGTGGGTGTTGGGATTTATTCTGTTGTGGTGATCCTGCTTGAGAGGACAAGGCACGGACGAAGGCTGGTGGACCAGGTGTTGAATATCTTCACCGTTTCTGGACGCATGGAGCGCCAGGGTCGCAGAGAGACAACCTCCAGTCTGGCTAACCTCATATGAGACATAACCACAATACAACGGTGTAATCTGGCCCCTTGATTTTACTATCGGAACAATTATCCTCACGTTAGGGGAATAATGAGTAAAACACTCTTTAAATACTGTAAGTCAGCTTTGTCACATGTTCGCGTGTGAACGGGAGAAAATAAGTTGACTTTGCAATATCTGCTCGGGGAAGATGTTATTAATGAGTTCTCTCTTAAGGATGAAAAGACTGATGAGTAACACACAAAGGAAGAATTGATTACTACATGGCTGAGTGTGCCAGGGGAGCGGCAAGTATTTTTACACATGAATGTAAAAATCTTTTTTTTGACAAACTGTAAATCAGAAACCATCCACATGAGGCTGGACGCCAAAACACTGGTTCCTGTAGCAGCGTGGTCACTGGTCAGGTCTCTGACATAGAAGCAGGCAAAACGAGGAGGAACGCTGACTCCATTAGTATTTAGGAAGATTTTTCTTTTCAATGAAAAGCACAGATTCTTTCGTGAGAAATGTCGGTTCCAAGATGGGAGCTGACGTGTTTTCATGTTGTCATCACACAGAGTATAATAATCTGCGCATCACCTACAATTTGTCAAATAATCTCTGACAATGTAACACAAAGTTGTATGTGTACGCTACGGTGGCTGAGACGTCAAGCGCGCAAGTGCATTAACGGAAAACACCCATTCAAAAGTCACAGCACGAATGCTAACGCCACAATTTAGATGCAAAAGCCACAACACAAGTGTAAAAGCCACACAATGGAAACACAACAACAATTCGTACAATTTAGATAAAACACTAACATCACAATAGATCCCTTTCATTCGAATCTTTCACCTGGACCTTTAAAATGAGACGCTTGTCTATATGAGGTGTTCCGTTGTGTTTCCGTTGTGTTGCCTTTGCATTTGTGTTTTCTGTTAATGCCCTTGTGTGGGTGTCTCAACCTCTGTACTACAAAGATGAAGAAACACAAAACTGTTTTGTCAAAGGTGATTAGAGGTTGTGGTTAAAGGGGCCATTTACACGTGTATAATGTATGTGTTATAAACATGGATCCTGTCAAAGTGCTCTTGGACCACACGTCTGTCCACCACCTGCACTGATGATCAATGATTGTAAGTTGTCGTGGATCAGAGCACTAGCTGAAAGGCTGTAAATAGTAATTACAAAAGCAGTGATACACAGGACAACATAAACATGTTTTTTGTAATTTGTAATCCATGCACCAACCCTCACTCTGTCCATATGTTCACATGAAGTTTTGTGCAGCTGATGAATTTGACTGTGGACGTAATGAGGTGAGAGCTTCAACGTGGCTAAACTCCTTTTAATTCAAAATTAATTCCTCAGTTGAATAATAATTGACTTTGATCCATGCAGCAGGACTTTGATGTAAAATCTGTTTGCCTGTAACACGAGAAGACAACATGATTGTGTATCAGAGAATTATACGGGAGCACTTTATCCACTGGATCATTTGTGGACTCAGTATTGTCTCAGCTGTGACGCTTGAAGCACCTTCTATATTTTTGACATTACACTGAATCAATTGATTGTGTGGAATGTAAAAATGTTCACCCACATTGCAGCAGTCATGGAGAATCACCATCTCATCTGATCTGTTGAGTTTTTTTTTTTTTACATCTTGGCTCATTGTCTTTATTATGATTTTGAATGTCAGTGTTCTCATCAAACCATGTGGGCAGCAGAGTTAAGCAATAAAGCTCAGATAAACCAAACTGTGCATCACCGACTTTGCTCCAATCGACAAACAGACATTGAGTTTCAAAGTATGGAGCATTTGTCTTTGGGGCATTCACAACAAGGCTTGAATAATAAATTATCTTTCAGTCAGGACCACGTTCATCAAAAATAATTTGATTTGAAGGAATTGCAATAAGTTTGGCGGTTTTGCTTTTTTTCTGGGACGTCCCTGCTCGTCCATCTGTCTAAGAAAGGAGCCTGAGGTGAGGGAGAGCACACCTGCCTCCCATGAGCCTTCAGGGAAAGTAAGGCAGGGAGACCAGCAGCTAAAAGACCCAGAGATCAGAGCAGGCGTTAATGACGACACACAACATCGAGGAGGTCAGATTCATTAAAAAATGAATAGAATGCATAGAAGGGGATCAGCTGTTTTCTGATCTTTGCTGGCATACAATCAATTAATGCAACTTTAAGTATGCAACCATGAGTGCTTCCAATGATTTTAGAGAAATGGGACATATTTCCAAGGAACCAAGATCCTTTGACGAGAAAACTAGAAACATGGGGCAAATTTAACGAAAGAAAAAGAGAAGGAATTAACAGCACAATTAATAGACTTTAATTTCTGCTGTGTTTTTGCTGGGACCAATTTACATTTATTTCGATCCCTGAAGCACTTAAGTGAAATAAAGTTTTGCCTCATGAGGATTAAGAATCTCCGTGCTCTACTGTAACCATGACTTTGCCTTCAGCATGGGGCTGTAGTTGGAGGTGACAACTCTCCTCCCAGCACCTCTGGATTCATTAGATGTATTTTTGGCTCAGATAACAGAATTGATCAGCCCCCACAAGGCAGAGAAGGAGAAATGAAAAAATCACCTTTCACTGAATTAGGTAAATCTACAGTCTGCTGACACGTTTGCACTGTTATTACTGAGTCTCGTTTCCAGAGGTGTTAATACAAAATAATAGAAAAGCAAAAATTTCATTTCCATAAAAACAAAGAGAAACACATCATGACACTGACGAGACACAAAGAGAAAAAGCGACATGTTTGTGAAATGTTCCCAAAAGCTGTGAAGAGTAATTCCTCACGTCGCCTTCCAGAAGAACCTCAGAGAAGGTCCTGCTTTGTGTCACACTAGTGTGTGTGTGTGTGTGTGTGTG